CTTATACTTTCTGTAAAATCCATTTTAAAATCACAACCTTAAGTAACAGCCTATGGGGAATACATTAAATGCAGCAACCTGCCATTACTAAGTCAAGAATTCAGCTGTTAATAGGAAATTCTTGGCTTTCTGAAATCCATCAACACTTCCAGCCACGGAAAAAGCTGCCTTAGTTTCTGTTTCCTAAAAGAAATACATTTATAGTTTGAGTTACTTCATTTATTCAGTGGCTACATTTTAAAGATCAAAACACTTCCAGAAAGCATGTATTTATCTTTTCAATGATAAGAGAACATTTCAGACTAGTTTCATGTTAGAAACTCTATCTTAGGGTAGTTGTTTGTTTTTTTCTCTAAGGAAAAATGTTAATGATTGTTCAAAAGTTACTTACATTATAATTCATTTATTTTCACAATGAGGGTTTTATATTCCTATGTTTCCAATTTAGATGATCTCCAACAGAGATATTCAAGGTATTTTCATGATAGTTTCAGGAAAAATTTATGTGTGTGTGTGTGTGTGTGTGTGTGTGTGTGTTTTCTCTGATTTGTATCACATTCTAAGTTTTATATTTGCAAAATATCAGTGGGTGTATCACACAAAAATTCATATGTTTATTTTATGGTGCCTTTATGCATTATTATTTTGTTGAGTTGGTATGCCTAGTTCTTGTGTATAGGATGAAAGGAGGTGTAGAAGATAGGTAAAGTTTCACACTGATTAAAAGCTAAGCTTTTTTTTTTTTTGTACTTTTTTTGAGATTTTTTTAATATATTTTTTTATTGATTAAGCTATTACATATGTGTCCTTATACCCACGTTACCCCCTACCCCTCCCCCCGCTCATGCCCTCACCCCCCCATTGTCCGTGTCCATTGGTTAGACCTATATGCTTGCATGTAAGTCCTTTGGTTGATCTTTCCCCCTTACCCCCACCCTCCCCTACCTTCCCTCCAAGGCCCGACAGTCCAATCAATGCCTCTCCATCTCTGGATCAGCCCTTGTTCATCAGTTTATGTTGTTCATTATATTCCACAAATGAGTGAGATCATGTGGTATTTATCCTTCTCTGACTGGCTTATTTCACTTAGCATAATGCTCTCTAGTTCCATCCATGCTGTGGCAAATGGTAAGAGTTCCTTTTTCTTCTTCCTCTTCTTAAAGAATACCTTTCAGCATTTCATATAATGCTGGTTTGGTGGTGATGAACTCCTTTAGCTTTTTCTTATCTGTGAAGCTTTTTATCTGACCTTCAATTCTGAATGATAGCTTTGCTGGATAAAGTAATCTTGGTTGTAGGTTCTTGCTATTCATCACTTTGAATATTTCTTGCCACTCTCATCTGGCCTGCATGGTTTCTGTTAAGAAATCAGGTGACAGTCCTATGGGTACTCCCTTGTAGGTAACTGACTTTTTTTCTCTTGCTGCTTTTAAGATTCTCTCTTTGTCTTTTGCTCTTGGCATTTTAATTATGATGTGTCTTGGTGTGGTCCTCTTTGGATTCCTTTTGTTTGGGGTTCTCTGCGCGTCCTGGACTTGGAAGTCTATTTCTTTCACCAGGTAGGGGAAGTTTTCTGTCATTATTTCTTCAAATAGGTTTTCAATATCTTGCCCTCTCTCTTCTTCTGGTACCCCTATAATTCTGATGTTGGTACGCTTGAAGTTGTCCCAGAGGCTCCTTAGACTATCTTCGTGTTTTTGGATTCTTTTTTCATTTTGCTTTTCCGGTTGGGTGGTTTTTGCTTCTTCGTATTTCAAATCTTTGACTTGATTCTTGCGATCCTCTGGTCTGCTGTTGGGAGTCTGTATAATATTCTTTATTTCAGTCAGTGTATGCTTAATTTCTAGTTGGTCCTTTATCACAACATCGAGGGTCTCACTAGATTTCTTGAGGATCTCACTACATTTATCGGCGGTTTCCGTAAAATTCTTGAAAAATCTTAGAAACTTGGTTTTGAACTCTATATCCAGTCGTTTGCTGTCCTCCATTTCTGTCATTTGTGACCTGTTTCTTTGTCTTCGCATTTTGTCTGCTTCCCTGTGTTGGTAGAGTGGTTTTGTGTGCTAGGTGTCCTACAGGGCCCAGTGGCTCAGCCTCCCCAGTTACCTGAGGTGGACACTCTTGGTGCACCCCCTTGTGGGCTTTGTGCACAGTCTTGTTGTAGTTATGCCTTGATTGTTTTAGGTGTCACTGGGAGGAATTGACCTCCAGGCCAATTGGCAGTGAGAATCAGCTGTGTCTGCAGTGGGAGAACTTCTGTGCTGAAGACACCCTTCTGGAGCAAGACTTGCTTCAGTGGGGCTTTGGTGCTCACTGAGTCTGCCCCCTGAGTGTGTTCCTTATGAATCTGAGGAGTTGTAATCTGGATGGTCCCACTCTGACCACTGGGTACACTGGCTCTTGGATCTAAGGAGGTGCTAATTAAGCCTCTTCCTGAGGTTACCCATCCAGAGCTACAAAGAGATATGCAGATTCCCCTTCCTTTTTGGGGGGTTTGGGGGTGCCCAGATGAGGCCCAGCTGTGAAGCAATGCAAGCTGCTGTGAAGCCTTGGGCCTTCTCTTGGAAGTTCTGGGTCTGTCTGGCCCAGCTGCAATTTGTTAGGTAATTTTCAGGTTGCAAAGGACCCGGGCATTCATATGCAAAAGCCTTTGCAGCAGCCTGGATGGGGCGGGGTCTCGGAATCAACAGGGCGGAGCAAGCAGCTATGGCTGATCCTCAGCCCTGCCCTAAGGGGCCGCACATCTCAGTGTCCCGGTAATTGCTGCCAGCACCTCTGAGGGAAAGCCATCTTCAAGTTCCGAGTTCTGCCTGCTGCCAGACTGTCCAGTTTCTCCCCGTATGAGCTCTGGGACCCCAGAGATTTCCCGGAACCGGAGTTCAGAGCAGTCGGGAGCTTGTGACTCCCTCCCGATGCAAAAAGACAGCCGCGTCCTCAGGTGCCAGCCCCTTTCCCCTCGCGCCGGAGCCTCCGTACCTCTGCACTTTACTTTCGTAGCTCCTCTGAGTCTGTGTGCTCTTCTCTTTCCTTCTAGTTGTAGAATTTCCACTCAGCCAGCCTTCCTGTGGTTCTGGGTGATGACCGTTCTGTCTTTTAGTTGTATTTTTGAAGTTGTTGTCGGAGGCAGCAATTTCCGGTGTTTACCTATGCCGCCATCTTGGTTTCTCCCTAAAAGCTAAGCTTTATAGGAGAGAGATTTATGTAGGAAGCCAGATTGTAAATACTGACTAACCTTTAAAAGTAGCTTAAGTAACAGTACTCATATGGATTTGAGAATAAAAATTCTTTATCAACAAAGGATTTGAAGCATAGTCATCAGAATCTAGGTCCAGAGCTGTTGTTTCTTCATTAAAGGTAGTTTTGAGACAAGATTGAAATTATTTCATCTATAATAATAAAAGTGTAATATGCTAATTAGACCAGACGTCCTTTCGGACGACCTTCTGGATGAAGCCGGGGCTGTGAGGGAAGCCCAGGTTCTGGGTGCCAGAGGGAAGCCAATGCCTGCAGCCGGGGGAAGGAAGGGCTACTCCTGCACGAATTTTGTGCATCGGGCCTCTAGTAGGTTAATAAACATTAATAAACATTTACTTTGCAACTACTACTTGCTAGATACTATGTTAAGTTCTTATTCATAGGCCGTTAAAGCTTTCATCTGTTCTAAATGATACCAGTTCTACATTGTTCTTAAAAATAATAATTCAAGATAATGGTAAGATAACAGAACATTCTATGACAGCCATCTCTATCCATATTAAGATTAAAACCCAGCAGTGTCACTTTCAATGTTGTTTTTCTGTGCAAGCACCAAACTATTCCAAACAATGATTATCAATAGCTCTTTTGAACGGGAAAATACTATCATTTTAAAAAGATGTATTAATCTTCCTATTAAAAAGAATGTATTTGAATCCTGTCATTAAGGAATGCTAAACTGTAGAATTGGAGCAGCAGCTGAAACCCTTCTCATCAATAGTGCATGTCTCCTGCCCAGTAAAATAACACATTTCATAAGAAAGGAACGGATGTACATATTTTATTTTTACAAACAATGTGTTAAGTTACCTGAGTTTTCATATCCAATTTCTGAAGAAATTTCTAGAACAAATAATGCTACTACCAAGATATTAAGGTCATTTCCCCTAATCTTTAAATAAACATTTTCTCATCATTTTGTAGGGAAACAATGAGGCTTTTGCAGAGGGATTACTAAAAGTCGAATTTCAGTAGAATATAAAATTATACTTCAATAAATATTGCTTTAATGCCTTCAAGAAGACATGTCGTGCAGTGTGTCATATAATCAGTGATTGCATTATCTTTAGTATATAGTAAGTACTTTCAGAAATCATTCACCTCACAGATTTTAGAAGAGGTTTGTGATATTTGTAAATGAATAGATGAAACTAGTCACATACTTTCATTTTTATAGTTTTCATTTACTTTAAATAATTACTATGGTCCTAGCTGGTTTGGCTCAGTGGATAGAGCGTCGGCCTGCGGACTGAAGGGTCCTGGGTTCGATTCCGGCCAAGGGTACATGCCTGGGTTGCGGGCTCGATCCCCAGTGGGGGGCATGCAGGAGGCAGCCGATCAATGATTCTCTCTCATCATTGATGTTTCTATCTCTCCTCCCTTCCTCTCTGAAATCAGTAAAGAAATATATTAAAAAATAATTACTATGAATTGATATTCTTCAAGTTTGGATTTATGACATGTATATATATTTTTTGCCAAATTATGTTTACTTCTAATTCAGATTGGAAGGTCCTTTGAACTCAAAAATTATAAAGTTAATTATTGATTATTTTTACCTAACCTGGCTCTCTTGGCTCTTGTATATAGATATCCTAAGAACTATGTCATCTTTTTTATCTTGTGTAAAGAAAGTATTGGTAGTATAAAATATATAATAGAATACATTTTTTAAAATCCTATGTATTTACAGTTTAAGTTAAAGATGTAAGAATAATTTATTGTTCTTTTAATTCTTTTTAAAGGTGATGGATGTGGACACACTGTACTAGGCCCTGAAAGTGGAACCCTTATGTCCATAAACTACCCACAGACCTATCCCAACAGCACCGTTTGTGAATGGGAGATTCGTGTAAAGATGGGAGAAAGATTGCGCATCAAATTTGGTGACTTTGACATTGAAGATTCTGATTCTTGTCATTTAAATTACTTGAGAATTTATAATGGAATTGGACTTAGCAGAACTGAAATAGGTAGGAAATTTTCTTATAAATGTACATGTAATACATTATTGCCTGAGTTTTACAACTAAAGCAATTTTTGATACTTACGATTGAATAACTATACTATATGGATAATAATGTGGGAAATTATTGAAAGCCTGTGTGAATCTCAAATTTGAATCTTTTGGGAAGAGACAATATTTATCTGTTTGTTTATTTACTTTTGTAACAAGCCTGTGCTCGTACCCTTGCAACAAAATGCCACTGTAATATTTCTAAGGAGAAAGTTAACTATCTAATTTTTTTTCTTTGATCATTTTATTTGCAATTAAAGAATACAAATATAATTTATGCTTAGGAGGCCAGTATATCATGGTCATTAAGAACAAGGGCTTTTGATTCAAACTTCTTGATATTTACTTCTAACTCTGCTGTTAGCTTGCTTTGTGACCCTGGGCAAGTTACCTGACCTCTCTGTTTCCTCACTTATAAAATAGCAAATGAACTCATTATTTAAAGTACTTAGAACAGTATATAACATACAACACATGCTTAGTAAATATTGCTGCTATTGTTAACCTTAGCTAAGAGCAGTGGTTCTCAATTATGGCTACATATTAGAGTCACCTGGAAAGACTTTTGAATAATACTGTCTAAATAATACCTGGTCTTCACCTTACCAGTGGTTCTCAACCTTCCTAATGCCGAGACCCTTTAATACAGTTCCTCATGTTGTGGTGACCCCCAATTTCACTGTTACAAATTGAACATAATTAAAGCATAGTGATTAATCACAAAAACAATATGTAATTATATATGTGTTTTCCGATGGTCTTAGGCGACCCCTGTGAAAGGGTCGTTTGACCCCCAAAGGGGTCGTGACCCACAGGTTGAGAACCGCTGCCTTAAACCCATTGAATCAGAATTGATTGGGTGGGAGCCATGCCTCAGTAGTTTAAAGTTCCAAGGATAACCCACTTTGTAGTCTAGTTAGGAACCTTTGGCTTAGAGAGCAGCACCTTGCTTTTAAGCAAGAAAGGTAGAAATTTTTATAAGGTGTTTGGTAAACTAACATCATAAAATAAAGAATTCTTGGGTTTTCTGAATTTATTTGGAAACATTTATTGGTACAAGTGTGTAAAATATCTTTTAGAACCGTAATTGGAACCTGGTATCTTGTTCTTTGAACATCTTATTTGTCCTCTGGCTTCCTCTCCATCTATAGTCAAATCCTTCTCTACTTTTTGGCCTCTTATCTACGGAAGGAACAATTCCTTCCCTGCTTCTCTGACCATTAATTGATAACTTCTGTTGCCTCTGTTAACTCTGGATTAACCTGGTAGCTTGGTCACCACATGCACATTGTCGTGAATATGTGGTATCGGATAAGCTTTTAGGAACGAAAATACCCAGTGATTTAGAAACACTATTACTGTAACACTAATAGAGAACAAGTGGATATCAAATGCCTCCTGAGGTGATGCAGTACAGAGTAAACAGTACCACCTGAGCAGTCTTGCAACAACAGTGAAGAAAGGTGAACCACAGTGTAATCAAGCCCATGGCAGTTTAAGGGAATAAAGGAGCTAGAGAGAAACACATGCTGTCAACCCTAAAGTCTGTGTAGGCATACCTTGTTTTACTGCACTTCACATAGGTGGCATTTTATTACAAATTGAAAGCAAGAACCTCTACTTGCAAAAAGATTGTGACTGACTTTATTATGCTTCCTGCTTTGTTGCAGTGGACTGCAACTAAACCTGCAGTGTCTTTGAGCTCTGCCTGTATTGAAATGCCATTTATAAAAAGAAAGGGGAGGAAGTGGAAGGAACTGTCATATACAGGGTGGGCTAAAGTAGGTTTACAATTGTTTGTATGGAAAATAAGGTAATAATCTACACTAATAAAAGAGAAACATGCTAATTAGCATACCACCGCTACCCTTCCCATTGGCTAATCAGCATATCCTTATGCAAATTAACTGTCAGCCAAGATGGCGGCTGGAAGCCATGCACTGAAGCGAACAGGGAGGCTTGCTTGCTCCAGTGAAGGCGGACTCCAACGTTCCCCGCCTGCCGCTGCTGGCCTCTCAGCTGCAACTATGTTGCAAATATAGAAGCTAAACAAAACCCCAGAAACAAGCTTTCAGTCAGCCAGCCTGACCGCAACATTGTATCAAATACAGAAGGAAAAACAAAGGCCAGAAACCGGCTTTCAGCAGCCGAGGCCTCAGAGCTAAAGCTGGCCCAGAATAAAAAAAGAAAAAAGAAAAAAAGGAGCGGTTGGGAGCTTCAGCCCCTCACCCAAACTGGCCAGGCACCCCAGTGGGGACCCCCACCCTAATCCAGGACACCCTTCAGGGAAAACCAGCCGGCCCCCACCCGTGCACCAGGCCTCTATTCTATATAGTAAAAGGGTAATATGCCTCCCAGCACCGGGATCAGCGTGACAGGGGGCAGCGCCCAAACCCCCTGATCGCCCTGCGGCTCTGTGTGTGACAGGGGGCGGGGCCACAACCTCCCCATCCGCCTTGCTCTGTTCGTGACAGGGAAGGCGCCCCAACCCCCTGATCAGCCCTGCTCTGTGCCTGATAGGGGGGGAGCTCCCCAACCCCCTGATCGCCCTGTGCTCTGTTGTGTGACAGGGTGCAGCGCCCCAAGCCCCTGATCAGCCCTGCTCTGTGGGAAAAAAAAGAGGTCGCGTCTTTTTTTTTTTTTTGGTGTGATATAAAAAAAAAATTGCTTTTATTCCTTCTCCCTCTCTTCTGTTGGTGGGAAAAAAGAATGTTTTTTTTTTTTTCCTTCCTCGTCCTCTCTGTTGTTGTTTGTTTTAGTTGTTTTT